GGGTCGGCACCGGGCGGTGCCGGCGGGGGCCACGGCCACTCGCACGGAGCCGGGGAGCACGGCCACTCGCACGGCGCCGGCGGTCATGCGCACGACATGGGCGTCGGCCTCTGGGTTCTGGCTGGCATTGTGGCCTTCTTCGTGGTAGAGAAGTTCGTGCGCATCGTTAAGGGCGGCCACGGTCACAGCCACGGCCCGGCAGACCGGCAGCTGCATGTTAAACCATCAGGGGTGGACGAGACGACGGTCAAAGCCAAAGCCGTCGCCGGAGGATCGAAAGATAAGGATGGTGACAGTCCCAAGAGCAAGGGAAGGAGCAAGGCGCAAGACGCTTCGAGTGATAAAGAGAGTGCAGAGCGCGTAAAAGATGATTCGAAGGAGACGAAAAGGCCTGGTAAAGACAAGGCTGAAACATCAGAAAAGACAAAAGACAAGAAATCTACAAAGCAACAGAATGCTGCTTTGGACAAAGCAACTCCTCATCAAGGTCAGTGGAAAGTCTCCTGTAAGCTACTCTGAATTTTGTTCTAGCCTTTAGGAAGAAATGTTGGCTCGTCCTTGTTTTAGGCAGTGTTTGGAGTTAGGCTCTGATAATTTGGCATGTACTGTTTTGAGGAGGCATGGCTCCTACCTGTGATACAATGCATTAATCAGCCTCCCTGGTTGTCTGATTAAGCCTTTGTCCAATCCATGGTGTAAAATTATCCAAAAAGGTATGTTGTCTGACGTGACAAATGGCTGCTGTCTGCAACAACCATTGCAATTCAACACCATTGCACTTGTTTCTTCAGGAACAGAGCCGCCACTGTTCACGCCCCACTCTTTTCTCAGATATTAAGGTTGCGGGCTACTTGAACCTGGCCGCCGACTTCACGCACAACCTGACAGACGGTCTGGCCATCGGTGCTTCCTACCTGGCCGGACACTCGATCGGTGAGGAGATTGTGCGACGCCCCCCCCCCCTCCCTTCCTCTGCCATCGGTACCCCCTACCTGGCCGGACACTCAGTCGGCCAGGAGACGGTGCGACGCTCCCCCCTCCCCCCCTTGCCATCGGCGCCACCTGCCTGGCCGGTCGACCCTGATCGCTGAGGAGACAGTGCGGCAAATTGACAAAACGATGAAAGACAAAGGGCAAACCGTAACGGTCAGCTACTGTTAGCTGCAAGAGTAGAATCCCACGACATGTCGTCAGCTGGAAGTAAGTGTAAGTGTGCGGTAAATGTAACTGAGTGCTAAGCTAATACTTCGGATGACGACGGTTGGATGCCCCTGATACGACATCTAACGGCAGGGCCCGTAACTGACGCCTGCCCACCGCTCCGACAGGCGTCATCACCACAATAACCATCGTCCTGCACGAGGTGCCGCACGAGATCGGCGACTTCGCCATCCTGGTGCAGTCGGGCGTGCCACGGTGGCGCGCCATTATGCTGCAGCTGACGACAGCCGTCGGCGCGCTCACGGGGACCGTGATCTCGCTGCTGGCCGAGGGTGCAGGTCAGTCTGCTATTGGGCCGACGGCCGAGGGGTAGGTCAGTCTGCTACTGGTCCGACGGCCGAGCGGTAGGTCAGTCTGCTACTGGGCCGACGGCCGAGGGGTAGGTCACTCTGCTACTGGGCCGACGGCCGAGGGGTAAGTCAGTCTGCTGCCGGTCCGACTGCCGAGGGTGTAGGTCAGTCTGCTACTGGGCCGACGGCCGAGGGTGCAGGTCAGTCTGCTACTGGGCCGACGGCCGAGGGGTAGGTCACCCTGCTACTGGGCCGACGGCTGAGGGGTAAGTCAGTCTGCTGCCGGTCCGACTGCCGAGGGTGTAGGTCAGTCTGCTACTGGGCCGACGGCCGGGGGTGTAGGTCAGTCTGCTACTGGGCCGACAGCCGAGGGTGTAGGTCAGTCTGCTACTGGGCCGACGGCTGAGGGGTACGTCAGTCTGCTACTGGGCCGACGGCCGAGGGGTAGGCCAGTCTGCTACTGGGCCGACGGCCGAGGGTGCAGGTCAGTCTGCTACTGGGCCGACGGCCGAGGGTGCAGGTCAGTCTGCTACTGGGCCGACGGCCGAGGGGTAGGTCAGTCTGCTACTGGTCCGACGGCCGAGGGTGCAGGTCAGTCTGCTACTGGGCCGACGGCCGAGGGGTAGGTCAGTCTGCTACTGGTCCGACGGCCGAGGGGTAGGTCAGTCTGCTGCCAGTCCAACGGCCGAGGGGGTAGGTCAGTCTGCTGCCAGTTCGACTGCCGAGGGGGGTAGGTCAGTCTGTTGCCAGTCCGACGGCCGAGGAGAAGGCAAGTCTGCTGCCGGTCCGACTGCCGAGGGGTAGGTCAGTCTGCTGCCGGTTCGACTGCCGAGGGGTAGGTTAGTCTGCTGCTGGTCAGGCAGCCGAGGGGGTAGGTCAGTCTGCTGCTGGTTCGACAGCCGAGGAGGTAGGTCAGTCTACTGCCGGTCCGACTGCCGAGGGGTAGGTCAGTCTGCTGCCAACCCGACTGCCGAGGGGGAGGGGCTGGGTCAGTGCTGACTGATATATTTTGGCCTGATGGAGGGGATGAGTTATCACCGACGCTGCACAGTGTATGCCAGGAGGGTATGCCAACTGTGACGGGGCATTCGTATAGCTGACAGTCTGGTGCCAATGCTGCCCTTGCCAGTGCTATTACCCTAGAGTTGTTTGTCCATGTTGCCTGTGTTGGTTCAGCCGTGTCTGGTGCCAATGCTGCCCTTGCCAGTGCTGTTACCCCAGAAATGTTTGTCCATGTTGCCTGTCTTGTTCAGCCATCACCCCCATCGCATCACGCACTATTGATCTCCTGTTAGTCCTTTATCCTACATCCTGTACCGATCGTGCTGGGATGTTCGTTAGATGCCTGCCAGTATCTCCCATTGAATACTTCTGCTATATCACTTGGTGTGTTCATGTGCTGATACGTCCAAATGTGTGCTGACACCTCTACATCCAATTGGAACCAGACTCCAGACTCCCGTGGGTACGCCCGCCTGTGTGTCAGCGATACCGACACCATCCCACGCCCCCCAGCAGTGTGTCCCTGCTGCTGGCACGTCCCGCCATTCGCAGCAGTGTATCTGCGCTGTTGTCAACCCGGCTGCATCCCGTCATCGTGTCGCTGGCGCTCACACTTCTTCCGCATCCCGCCTGGGTGTTAGGACTCCCGATACCGCCGTCACACTCCGACACTTGGTAACATCCCACCGGTGTGTCAGGACTCTTGACACCTTCACCACACCCCGCTGGTGTATCAGGACTCCCAGCACCACTACAACCCGCTGGTATGTCAGAACTGCCGACACCTCCGGCACTCCCAGCTGTGTGTCAGGATCCCCGACACCTCCGCCACACCCTGCTGGTGTATCAAGACTCCCGACACCACCACAACCCGCTGGTGTGTCAGAACTGCCAATACCTCCGGCACTCCCAGCTGTATGTCAGGATCCCCGACACCTCCGCCACACCCCGCTGGTGCATCGGGACTCCCGACACCACCACACCCCGCTGGTGTATCAGGACTCCCAGCACCACCAGAACCCGCTGGTGTGTCAGAACTGCCGATACCTCCGGCACTCCCAGCTGTGTGTCAGGATCCCCGACACCTCCGCCACACCCCGCTGGTGTATCGGGACTCCCAGCACCACCAGAACCCGCTGGTGTATCAGGACTCCCAGCACCACCAGAACCCGCTGGTGTGTTAGAACTGCTGATACCTCCGGCACTCCCAGCTGTGTGTCAGGATCCCCGACACCTCCGCCACACCCCGCTGGTGTATCAGGACCCCCGACACCTCCGCCACACCCCGCTGGTGTATCGGGACTCCCAGCACCACCAGAACCGCTGGTGTGTTAGAACTCGACGCCTCTCCCAACAGTGTGTGTGTGTGTGTGTGTGTGTGTGTGTGTGTGTGTGTGTGTGTGTGTGTGTGTGTGTGTGCGTGCGTGCGTGCGTGCGTGCGTGCGTGCGTGCGTGCGTGCGTGCGTGCGTGCGTGCGTGCGTGCGTGCGTGCGTGCGTGCGTGCGTGCGTGCGTGCTTGTGTGTGCGCGTGCATGTGTGTGCGCGTGCGTAGGCGCGTGCGTGTGCCTGCGTGCGTGTGCTGCCGACTACTCCGCCACACCCCGCCGGCGCGTCCGTGGCGCTGAGGTTGCCAGCGCTGTTGCAGACGCCGCCGCCACGTCCCGTATCTTGCCGTTCACCGCCGGCGGCTTCATCTACATCGCCACCGTGTCCGTGATACCGGAGCTGCTGGAGAAGACCAACCTCTGGCAGACGGTGAAGGAGCTGCTTGCCCTCCTGGTCGGTATCTACATGATGGTGCTGATCGCCGAGTACGAGTGAGGCGCGGTGCCCGTCTACTGCCGCCCTCCCTCTCGTCGCGTGCCGGCCGGGCGGCGGCGTGTGTCGATCATTCCACCAGCAGCTGCACGCTGATGGCCGCGCGTAAGGACTGCGGCCGTTTGAATGACCAGTAGCGATTGTCCCCACCCGGCTCGGGGGGGGGGGGGGGACACCGCGCCTCCGCGGGAGTCTCGCCGCCGGCGTGAGCGCGAGTTTTTTTTAGACTGCCGGCTGTTGATCTGCGTCGTTTTGAAGCGTGCGTGCCTCGCGACGGATTCTGCTTGTTGGATGCTGTTGGTTGTTGGATGGCGCTTGTCGAACGAGGGAAGGCGGACAATGGCGAGGCTGACGTTGCTGACCACCGTGCTGCCAATGGATGGTGTAGGTTTTCGATTGGCGCCGTCTCTTAGTTACTTTGCGCCATGCCGACGCACCCGTTGTGTGCAGTTAGGAAGATGGATTTGGCGAATGCGCCTCATTTTCGAAGGATGCTGCGGATGCGCAGGGTAATCGTAGATCAAACGGGATTTGAACTTGCTTTTGTCGGTTTGTGGTATTTTAACCATTTTGTGCGAACGGTGGGAACTGCTTGTGTGAGAGGTGGGTTGGATACTTAATGGAATGCACATTGCCGTTGCCGAAATAAATAGTTTATCCTTTGCGGTACCCTGGTATGACTTAAAAAAACTATTGTTGTACGTAAGGTGCGCTTGTTACCTTGGCTGATAATATGCTGGATGTTCCCATTCGTCGCACCAATGTAAGCGTTAGCAACGCGCGTTTTCCCCTGCGTCTTTCGTGCGGCTGGAGATGCCGGAGCTGCACGGCTTGTGGTCGACTCTTGGGTGAGCTGGACGACGCAATACCACGGCTGAGTGGGCTGGACACTGCTCGTGACATTGAATTCCTACCACCGCCTATCCGCGCGACGCCAAAAGCGTTAATCGAAGTCGGATTTATTTTAGTCTTCTACATGCCTTAAGGTACACCAAAATGGAGCATAGGTCGCAGAAGGGACACTTGCACGAAGCTAGGCACGTGTACGAAGGTACAAATCCACCAAAACCTGAGCGCACGAATACAATAACATCTAGCTGCTGACGCCTGTCGAGAACTGCATGTCAAGAACACCGAGACGCGACGCGGGGAGAGCGCGGTGCTGGTACGGTGTTCAGTGAAGACAGTCGTGTAGCTCCATCAACGAAGTTGACAGCAGAAGCATGCGATTGTGCACCACGCCACGGACCCACCAGGCAACACCACGCGACGCGCCGGACGAGCGGAGGACAACCGCAGCTCGTATCGACCGCACAGAGAGGAGCCGACCGTGCCGGCGCAGCCCGGCCGCAGCCCATGGAGCTAAGCGTAGCCGGCGTGTGGCGCTCTGTCCCCCGACGGGGGTCACACCTGGCAGCGTACCCGTGGTCTCCGGCCCTCGCTGTGGCCTGCATTCTCCGCCTGCTGCAAATGTGACAATGGCAGGTTTGTCCCCGCCCAGTTGCGCTGCGCGGAGTTCGCGCGTGGGCCGCCAGACCGCGCGAAAGCGGAGGGGACCAGCTGGCTATGCAGATAGCGATCCGTCCGTTGAATCTTTCATGGCCTGCAGCTGTCAACCCCACACAAAAGCGAACATCTACCACGCATAAAACTGGGCTATTCATATGCCGCGGAAACCGGCCAGCAATTTTCGGCTAAGTTGGCATTACAGTTTGTCTCACTTGTTACCATGCTGAATAAAGAACGGCGACGGTGGCCTATTAATAAAACATGTAACTGGTGGTGACAGCATCCAATAAGCTACCCTGTTCGGTGAAGCCATTCGTCATACGACGAGGGAGGCGGCCATTTCCTTGTGCCGACAGCGAGCTATTCATCTCAGATTCTCATTGCGAAAGTGGACATGAATGTGAGAAAACACGAACGCTTGTGCGGTGTCATAATCTTACGCAGTGGGGAACATATGATTTCATTTCAAGTCATTGGCGACCGGGGCCACACAGGAGATCTTTCGGTGGATATTTACACTGACGGGTTGTTCGGCAGCCCTGTGCCCACACAGGGCAGCGATGAGAGGGTGAACAAGGACGCGACCATTTGGTAAGATGAGCAACCTTTTCTGCATAGGCACTGACGTCAGCACATCAACGGCAGCACGACCGTACGATTACTGGAAAAGCACAAGCAATGTCAATGAAGGATTCGTGCGTCCGAGCAAAGCGAAAAACCACTATCCTGACCCGGGGGTGCGGGACCGCCCAGGGAAGCATGCCAGGCACGCGTGGGTGCAGTACGCGACGCATTTTGGAAATTGATGCGTCTGTTCGTTCCACAGCGATGTTTACGTCGATACCTAGCATATTTTCTTCATCAAAATCTCGGCAACCATTTGCGGCGATGAACTGAATGCCATGGCGGATCCATCGGTATATGGCGCCCGGTTTCGTGGTCCCCTCTGGCTTCGGATGCCGCAGGGCTGAGGCTGAAGTCGAAATGCTATTTGGGTGGTGCGGAACTGGGCCGCCTGTCTTAGATGTGCACGGCAGGCACGCCGACTCACGAAACGGTGTTAGAATTCGCTATGAATGCTGCGGCGAGGAACATGGTCGGTATCGCCCATTCTCTCGGGTACCGCATGTTTATCCGGTAGAAGGATGAAACAAAATGGTGACAGTTGAAGCCAGTTAAAAGCGTTTCAGATTTGTGCAAATATGTAACAGTTAGCAGGGCGATGTCAATATCCATATCATGCCTTCGCGACATGTCTTGATAATATTATTGCACGTCCGTTTCATATTACGTCATCCTGCTGGGCTTGCAGTGCTGTGCGACAGACAAACGCGCAAATGTGACGCTGACGCAAGGAGCGGCGAGTCCCACGTGCCTGTTGTTGGCCACTTATCAGTCAACTGTTTGTAACCGAACTACGTATGGAATATCACCGAAACAAGCATACCGGCAGGGTCAACACGTGACAACACTGGTGAGGTCAACACCACCAGGAATTGCTTCCAGCGCAAACAAGCAAACCAAGCTACCACATCTACTTCCGAGGCTCCAAAGTGTCAAGCGCTATCATCTCACCGAGACGAACGAAGGTCGGAGATAACAGACGCCAAACACAAACGGCAGAGGGTGATGGAGCCGGCGGGGGCTGACCGGGTGTCCATCTCGCCGCGCTGCTGGTCGCGCCACCTTCGGAGCTTGCACACCTGACGCTGGCGCGCTCTGTCAGAGTTGGCGCCATCCCGTGACGGCCGGCACCGGCGGGCGGGGGACGACTCCGGGCGGACCGGGGACGATTTCCGGGCGGACCGGGGACGACCTCCGGGCGGACCGGGGACGATCTCCGGGCGGACCCGGGACGACCTCCGGGAGGACCGGGGACGATCTCCGGACGGACCCGGGACGACCTCCGGGAGGACCGGGGACGATCTCCGGGCGGACCGGGGACGACCTCCAGGCGGACCGGGGACGATCTCCGAGCGGACCGGGGACGATCTCCGGGCGGACCCGGGACGATCTCCGGCGGGCGGTGGGAGAAGCGTAAGGTCGGCGGCGGGGCGGTGATCGCCCTCTCGCCGCTGGCTGGTGGCCGCTACTTCCCTATGAAGTGGCTGAGCACGTCGATGGGCAGCGGGAAGATGATAGTGGAGTTCTTCTCGGCCGATATGGTGCTCAGCGTCTGCAGGTATCGGAGCTGCCCGGAGAAGAGGCAGTCGGTGAGACACGGTCAGGTACTGGAGCTGCACACAGGAGAGGCCATCAGTGAGACACGGTCAGGTATTGGAACTGTCCAAAGGAGAGGCCGTCGATGAGATACGGTGAGATATTGGAGCTGCCCAAAGGAGAGGCCGTCGGTGAGACACGGTCAGGTATTGGAGCTGCACGCAGGAGAGGCGGTCGGTGAGACACGGTCAGGTATTGGAGCTGCCCGGAGAAGAGGCCGTCGGGGAGGCACGGTCAGGTATTGGAGCTGTCCGCAGAAGAGGCCGTCGGTGAGACACGGTCAGCTGACCGATGTACAAGCGTTTGGAAACGACCAGTGGTAACAATGTTAGCAATGCGCGAGTAAATATCAGGAATGCACAGGGATTTCACGAGGCACTCAAAGCGCGTTGCAAACTATATCATGTGAACCATGAGGGGCCGACTGAACGGGACAAACATGAAATATCGCGAATTTGTAGTTGTTTTAACACTGTTCGATGCCTGACGCGAGTGAAGTGATATATGTGTGTATATATATATATATATATATATATATATATATATATATATATATACATATAAAGCCCTTTACTATAATATATATATATATATGCATATATATATATATATATATATATATATACGACAAATGCACCATCTAACATGTGAGTATTTTTGTGATTTAATCTTTGAACTTCAACCCGACATAAAAAGCTGATTAGAAACATGAAGCGAATCAACAGACGACTTGCCAAACCCGAGCACTCCCTGCTTTTTAATCAAACATGTTTATATATATATATATATATTTATTTATATATAGGATGGCAGTAAATAACCATTCGTATTCTATAGAAGTAGTGCAAAAAACGTGCTGCTTTTAGAATTATCCTGACCATTCGCCACAAAGGTTTCATCATGCTACCAGACAATGGGGATCAAACATCTTACCGAATTTTATGAGGATGACTTGCATATTACAGTGCCTGTGGGTCGGTGTGCGCTGTGGAACTGACATCTCCGATGTCGCAGACATAGACGAAAGGCTGTGATAGACGCAAGCCAATTGCGATGGCGTTAAAAACTGAGATCTATATTTGAAGTCTAAACGCAGATGGGCGGTGCACTAGCATCGATGTGACACTGAAATGTGGTGTGTGAAGATGAACCGATGTTGACTCGGGGTGAATTGTTTGGTTTGCTTCTATGCATCGCGTTCGTAAGGGGAAGGCGGCGGTCAGGGTCATGATGCCGAAAAACACTTAACGCCAATTTTAATTTTCACAGCATTGGGTTGCGTACCATAAACCATTAAGCTTCACATGGTGTTGCTAAAGTGGTGTAGTGCTTATGCAATGCAAGAAATGCTCAAGTATATACCTGAGCTGGGATTCTGTTAAAATCATTAGATACGTCTTAGTCGCTCGGGGTCAATTTTCGGTCACGGACCTTGCCCGCAGAGTTGAACTGTGCAAATATAAAACGGACACCCTGTCCCTGGCTGTCGCCTGTATATGCTGTCCCAGACCAACAGCCTGGATATCCGTTTTACATTTTGGACATATGGACTCTGAGGAAGGTCCGTGACTGAAATCTCATTCAAAATGCATCTCACTAAACGACTAAAACGTGTGCAGCTATTGCAGGGAAGCTATTTTCATCCAGTTGAATGGTGTTCCTAATCGTGAGACATTCTTACGAACAGGAACAAAATCAGATCCTTTCCGGTATGCATTCTCGCTCGGAGTGATCCCAAAAAATGCGTAAGCCAAACTTCCTCCCCACTGCTTGGGCACGCCACAGCGCTCTATGCGGCGAGTCGCCACAGTAGCCCCATCCCGCCACGCGGCCCAGCAGAGCGGCTCAGCCCAACAGGCGCTACTATCCCATCAGTAGCCAAGTGCTGCACCCGGCTGCGATCGCGCGTGCAGCTCGGAAGGTGGCGTGGTTCACGAGCA